AGGAGAGGAGAGGAGAGGAGAGGAGAGGAGAGGAGAGGAGAGGAGAGGAGAGGAGAGGAGAGGAGGCTTCGCTGAAGGAACGGGAGCTGCCGTGACGGGGAGACGCCGGCGTTACTCACCTGCAGCCGCCGGCAGCTCCCTCTCGGCCGGGCCAGCCGGGTCTCCGGCTCGCCGGACCCGCGCTCCGTGCCGGGAAGCGGCTCGGCCGGCCCTTCCCGGGCAGGGCGGCGACTCCTCCCACCTCGAGCGGCCGGGTGAGCCGCTTCTCGGAACTTTCTCCCCCGCTCCGGGAAGCGCGGCCCGTTCCCTTGGCTGCGCTCCCAAAGGCAGCCGAGAACGCGGGCCGCCCCTCGCCCGAGGCGCCTCAGGGCTGCAGGGGCCCGGGTGAGCCGGGCAGGGACGGGGAACGGGCAGGGGTAGCCCGAGAGGGCAGAGAATGGACAGGTTCCATCTGCCCGGTCCCCAGCGGGCAGAAGTGATGTCCTCCGGCCGCCGTCACCGCTCCCTGTGTCTCCGGAGCAGGGCCGGGCGCTCTGGCCGCCAAGTGAGGAGGTGCCCGCAGCGGGCTCGGGGCCGGGCCGTAACCAGTCTGGTGCGGTGCCACATCGCCGCAGGCAGCTGTCTCTGAGGAAATCCCTCGCAGAAACTGCGTCAGCTGAGGCTAGGCTCACAAAGCAAACTGTTCACTCCCAAAAAAGTTACATAAAAGATGGGGGGGGAGCCCAGGAATTGACCAGGTTTCTGTTGTGGGTCTCCATATGACTGGCCTCATTCAGAGTGGTATAGTATGCCAAAAGCTACATTACCTAATGTAGAACATGAGAAAGTTTTGTTTAAGGTTGTTGTTCGTCCTTTCCAGGACATTCATGGTAAAGGTTTTTTCAGTTTGTAGCACTTTTACATAAAACAAGTAGTCGTCTCTTGAAGCTTTGTTGCTTCTTCTGTCTCTTCTTGAAGCTTGACTGCTTTTCATCAGGGGGATGTGATCTGCAAAGTTTGCAAAGTTTTCAGCCTTATAGGCTATCTTATTTTTAGACTTCATGATATATAGTTTGCCTTCTTTTTTTTTTTTTTTTTTTTTTTTTTTTTTTTTTTTTTTTTTTTTTTTTTTTTTTTTTTTTTTTTTTTTTTTTTCTTTTTTTTTTTTTTTTTTTGTACTAGCATAGTGTTGCTGAAATACTTTTCTTGTGGTCCACTTCAGCACCTTGGTCCTTTTCTTCTGAACTGCTGTCTAGCCATTTGTTCCCTGCCTTGCTGTATTTCAGAGATGTCTCATACTTCCCTCTGCCAAGTAACATCCTGTCTCTTAGTCAGGAATTCTATTTTCTTACAATGCTTTCGCTTTTTAGTCAAGCAAATGATTTCTAGTCAAAGGATAGTTTTATTCTTTAGAATATTCTGAATAGTTGCATCTGTTTATTCCACACAGTTCATGTGCATGTTTTGTGAGTCATATAAATCGAACTTTTCACAGAGGGTCACTCATTTTTCATTGCCTGCATGTGGTCTGGAGACACCACAGCTGGACATTTGCTGTTGTTTCAGAATTCAGACCTGACATAAAAGGTCATCTAACTGCTAAGTTTTACTGAAAATGCAAATCACAGATGTCTACAGTTATAAGCCAAAAATTTTAGCTTTTCTACAATAAATAAAATATGGGGTAGAAAAATCTTGGCACATACTATATTAAAGATAATAACTCTTTTTTGTGCTTTGAGCACTCTTATCTGTGTTTGAAAATATTTATTCTTTTAGGTCTCTAGTGGAGATACCTTTTAAAATCTATCAATATATTTAACATTTTCTGAATCATTTCAACCCTGATGTGGCAGGGGTTGAAAAATTCTCTATTGCCTCTATGTCTGGGTAGCAGCAACAATCTCTGATTTTGCTTTTGCTGATCCACATAATCCATAAATTCCAGAATGAACAGTGTATTAGCTTATCCTGTGAATGCTTCCTTATGAACATTTGAATTCACTACTAGTTAGAAATAAGGCTCAATATACTAATTAGAACCAAAAATACCCTAAAGAGTTATTTAATAATGTGTGTAAGGAATTTCATGCCTGGTCAGAAAGTGTTTCAAAAAGCAAATTGTCAAGTTCCTGATATTTGAGCAGGAAAAACTGAAATACAAAGAGAAGAGCAAAGGTAAATCCATAAAATAACCTGGAAGCTCAATGTGTCAAGTGCCATGGAATCTAGAGAATTGAAAATCCCAAGTCAGGTACCAAGCTTCTCTATATACACCATGTTATAGTAGTTTGGAAAGACCTAAAAGGCATCCAGTCCAGCCTGGCACCCTCTGTGTCTGTAGGAGCAGCTCTGAGCTTCACCCCACTTTTTTGGATGTTTTGTTACCTGTGTACATATATCCAAAGCCCATCTCTGGCACAACAGACCTGCTGGACCCGGATCAAGACTGCTGTGAAAGTCTGCCATCTGTAGAGGTTTTGAAAGCAAGGCTGTGGACATGAGATTATTGATGTTCTAGGATCTCAGAGGGAATGTACCAACATGAAAAAGTATAAAATCATAAAGGTAAAGATAACCTGGGGGAGCCTGGTCAAGCTAGACAGTCAGATGGGGACTATCTGTGAGCCCTTATGTTGTGTTTTAAGTGTTGATGAAGACTGCAAGTTAGAAATGCTGGAATTCCTCTCCACAGAGCCATGGGAAGTGACCCTTGCCCTTTTGGCTCATGCCTGCCTGCTCAGCAAAGACTTCTTGAGTTATGCTTTGTCTAGTGGCTCATCAAACTCTAGCTAGCTCTTCTCTCTGTTAGCCAATAACTAACTGCTTTTTCTTCAATTATGTGTATTCTTGCAGAGTCTCTATACCTGGCTAAAATACCTAAACAAGCTGACCAAGTGTGACAAATGCACTCAACCCTTTAACTAACCTATTACAAGCTCCAAAGCTATTTACAGGCTCCAAAGAAGCCTGTCAAACCAAGGTATTACAGGCTCCAAAGAAGGTGAAGACCTAGGGCATAACCAAGCCAAGAACTTCTCTAGTTCCAGTCCATTCCATAAAAATATAAAAGAGGTGAACACTGATGCACATGAGCTTAGCTCACTGATCATGTAAATAACACATTAATAGCAGGTAGCTTTTCTAGGACTCATTTATCAAGGAACAAAGAAAGTTGTGGGTGCAAGGAATCTCACACATACCTTTCCCATTGTATGTAATGTGAATACAAGCCAACCACTTTATTCCAGAAACATGTAATCTTAAACAAGCAGTTTTCAAGATCTCTCTGCTAAGCTGCTGTTTGTGTGGAATCTCCCCTTGAGCAGGGACACCTCTTGAGTCTGCTCTTCAAAGCAGGGAGACATCCCACCAAAAGCAGATGCTCAGTAACTGGCAGATACTATGAATAATCTGGTATTATAAGGCATAAAGATTTTTGTATTGGTAGCTTTGAATCATTGTTATATCCTTTGTGCAATAATACAGTGAACCTTGCCACTGAATTTTGTTGTAAAAGTTACACTTTTACAACATATCTTAATATAAAAGTATCACTTTTCCTGATACCTTTGGTGGTAGTTCTTTATTTTTCACATTTGAGTGTCAGATGTTCCTAAAATAAAATATTTCCTCTTTTATATGTCAAGTGTTTGTCGCTTCTTGGCATCATAAACTAATTTTTCTCTGTTTCTCTATGTTACACAATATTCTTGTAATGCTACATAACTTAGTTGCATCATTTGCAAAATCTACCTCTGATGTTGGTATATTAATAATTTCTACCCATACATTACGCAATGTAGTAAATCTGCCCCTTATGAGTAATAAAAGGTAATTTTCTTATTTCTCCACCCTTCAGGAAGAAAGTATCTATGTTAACAGGACCATTTCAAAGGAAAACAAGAAAACCCTGCAAACATATGGTACAAAACAACAATTCTCTTTGTCAGGCACTGAATCAAAGACTTGAAACAATAAAAATTTAATGTTAGCTTAATGTTCCTTGTTAACCAGTGTAATGAAACACTTTACTGTGTTGAAAGTAAAGCAGAAATATTTTTATTTCAAGAGTTTCCGATTCCAGTTAGTTAGTGATCATATGCATGATCTTCTGCACAGTTTAGTAGAGGTGTTGATTCTCTTATTAAAATCTAGTAATTTATAGGAAAAATCTGAAGTTCTTTTGGTTGCAAATTAATATTCAAAATAGTGTAAAAGATGTCATCTTTAGCCCCAAAGCAGGATGAATCCTACCTGATTCTCAATTTTTTTTCTTAAAGTCTCCTGTTCCCAGAAGTTCCACTGCCTTCAAAGACAGCCTCTGGCTAGGACCTCACTATAGTGGTAAAGAGTTCTCTTTTTCAAGAGTGCATAGTAGGACTTTATATCCACTGCTCTCTGCCTGTGAACTAATAGAGTCCAAGTTATTATTTCCTGTTCTGCAGCAGCCTTTGAAGCATTGAATATTAATAATAGGACCCCCTCAGGCCTCTCTAGGTTAAACAAACTGAATTCTTTCCATGATTTACAGAATGTTGATTCTGTTCACTGCTATTCACATGTCTCTTGAGTCCAGTTTCAAAGAATTGATGGACGCAGCTCACCTTTTAACAGAAGCCTTATTAACACTGTATTTACTCACAGGTAACACTTCTGTTCCTTCTGTGTCTATGTTTGCCATTTCCTCAGAAGCAGAACATTGTTTATTTAAGATCTTCCTCTGATGTTCCGTAAATCACAGGTCATTTTTGTCTTGCCAACTTTTTCCTTGTTTAATTATTTCTGCTTAACACCATGGCTCTTTCCCTTCTGACACACCATTTCTTTAACTTGTTAAGATGCTTTTGAATCTTAATCTTGTTTTCTGACATGATTGTGATCCCTCATATCTGCACGTCATTTGGAAATCCTGGGTATCTTCTGTTTTATCAGACAGATTTTTGGCTGTGTACAGCCGAGACAGGTGTTTTGAACTCCACTCCTGTTTCTTTGTAGCTGCAAGCCACTGCTAATTGCTTTCTTACTGCACAGTAGCAACTTCCAAACCCAAAGTAAAGCAAACCACTGTTTTCCATAAACACTGGTTTTCATACATGTCTTCATTCCTACCCAGAAACAATTTCCATGTAATCAGAAGTTGCAGAAGTACTCTACAGAGTGAAAGAGTTCAGAGGAAAGTTATTGAGCTAAACTGCACTGAACAATTTCAGATGTATATTTTAGAGCATCCAGAATTATTAGAGGTTTTCATAAATATTCATGGAGTTTC